AATATAAATTTGAATTTGTATTTGATTTGATTTTCAAATCAAATATTCAAATGTCAAATCGAATTGCGGAACCCTACGGTTTACTAAGAAAACTTAGTAATAATCGCCATTACAGCTTTGGTTTTACTAAGACAATTTAGTAATAACCGTTATCACAGTTTCGGTTTACTAAGAAAACTTAGTAATAATCACCATTGCAGCTTCAGTTTTACTAAGAAACTTAGTAATAACCATTATCACAGCTATCACAGCTTCAATTTTACTAAGAAACTTAGTAATAATCACCATCACAGCTTCAGTTTTACTAAAAAAAACTTAGTAATAACCGCTATCACAGCTTCAATTTTACTAAAACAATTTAATAATAACCGCCATCTTAGCTTTGTAACAATTTTATTAGTAAAAAATGTTTCCAAAGCTGCGTATGCGTTTTTTTACTAGTTTTCTTAGTAAAATAACGTCTCCAAAGCTGTGGAGGCATTTTTTACCATGTTTTTTAGTAAAATTATGTTTCCAAAGCTACAGAAGCGTTTTTTACTATGTTTTCTTAGTAAAATAATGTCTTCAAAGCCACAAAGGCGTTTTTACAATGTTTTCTTAGTAAAAAAGGCATTTTTGAAGCTGCAGAAGCACTTTTTGCTATAATTTTCTTAGTAAAAACTACTCCTAAAGCTTTGGAGATAGCTTTACTATTGATTCAAATCAAATCAAATATTTGAATATTTGATTTGAATTTGATCAAATCAAATCAAACATTAATTTGGATTTGATCAAATAAATCATTCTTTGATTTGAATTTGATCAAATCAAATATTCAAATATTAAATCGAATTGTAGAACCCTACTAGTAATACTAATAAAAAAAGAAATAAATAACCTAATAATCTTAAAGAGCATATCAAAAGTGTTATTAGTTCTGTTACCAGTTGGTATGTGAAACTAGTAATACTAGTGATAGCTAATGATAACAAAAATCTGTTTCAAAAACTTCAGCATACATATTTCTCAACTATATAGCAGGAAGTATATATCTTACTCTTGGTGATGTATTTAGTGATAAAAAGTCTACCCTAGAACTGTTAATATTTTTTGAGGTATTAGGATATTTGAAAGAGACAAAAAAGTATTTAGAACTCAAGATACAGTAGGATTCAGATAATTTTAGTTAACATTATAATACATAATTTTTGCTAGATTTTCACTAGATATCATCTGACACTAAATCTTCTGAAAGCACTATCATATAATTCTCTTAACAACATATATAAAATGTATTATGTGATTCTTTCAATAATATATGCATAAAATATCACTTGACACTAAGTCTTCTGAAATAATTATCATATGATTCTTTTAATAAATATATAGATATATCTTTCATGATTATCCTCATTGTAACAGTAAATTAACAATAATTTTGGTCAGCACTATTTTATAATTTTAGTCAGATTTTAGATACAATAACTCACATTCAAGTTGGCATAAAAGTAGCAAATTAATAGAATTATTCTGGCTTCTTATCAGCTACATGATACTTCTATAATGCTACTATGATACTGCCATAATGCTGAGTTACATCCTCAAATCATTGTTCTAAAATTAACTAAAATTATATCATAGTATTAGCTGAAATTAATAGTAAATTTGACTATGTCACCTAAACGTAACATAATTTTACAATCAATACCAGTCTAACATCTTAATCACAAAAAGATCACAGAATATTTAAAATAATGAGATATCTAGAAGGTAATAAAAAATCATAGAGTAATGAAAATAAGCAGATAGTTATAAGAAAATAAAAAAGTCACAGAATAGAGAAATTATGTGAATAGTAGCTTGATAATAAGAAAATCACAGAGGATCAAAAATAAGTAAATAAGCATGAATATACATATAAGTAAGTATCAATATACGTATAAGTAAATAATACTTTAATACAAGTAAATATCACTTTATAATAAAGTTACATCTACTTCTTATTTCTTTTCTTTCTCATATTTATTAATAAATTATCTCTCTATTTTATCTTTTTTAAATCTTCGTAAATCTGTGTGATATATCAACTTTCATGAAATATAAGCTGTATGAATCTTAATGATAATTATAAACTTTCGTGCTATATGAAATTCTTGTATAAACTATAAATCTTAGTAAAATATAACCTTTGTGAGTCTTAATAATATATCAACTGTCTTCATAAATCTTTATAAATCTTTGTAGAAACTATACTATTCTTAGTAAACATATAAAATAACATGTAAAAAATACAAAAATGAAATAATTTTAATAAATTCTATATATTGTTATATTGTGATATTATCTTTTATAAACTTATTTAATTTGCTGATTAAATTAAAAAATTTAGAAATTTTTTTTTTAAAATATTAATTATATGATATTTATAAAATTACAATCCAAATCATCTGTTATTTTAAATTCAGATTTATCTTTTTAATTTTCTACTTATTAGAATATCTAAAAATATCAACTTGATAAATTAATATAGATTAAATAAATTAAAGATCAAAATCCTAAAATTTACTTTTAGCTATTATAATATTATTAATTATTATTACAATTTTTATAATTTATTAAGATTTATTTAATAGCAAACATAAATTTTTATAATAAATAAATTAAATTATTTTAATAACTTTTTAAAAAACTTTAAAATATTTACTAATAAAATCGATAAAATATATGGGAAGTTTGCTAGGAAAATAGGATTCTGAGCATTTTTTATTGCATTTTAATTTTTGATAATATTAGATTAAAATGCCATAAAAATTAAAATTTTAATAAAAAATGCTCAGAATCCTATTTTCCTAGCAAACCCCATATATTAAACTTTATTTTTTTTTTGAAAACAAATTTACCTGCTAAACAATCTAAAAAGAATAATTATTTAATTTTTAATTATATAATAAAAATTCTACAAAATTTATAAAATTATTAATTTTTATAATTATTTAAAAAAATAAATAAGATTATTAAATTGTTTAAATTATATAATACATATTAAAATTTAAAATCATTTAATATTAAAGTTAATCTAATTAATGGTTTTTTTAAACATGCTGATATTTTATATTAAGCTATAAATAAACTAATTATTATTGATATTTTTGATATTATAATATAATAGTTTATTGTATTTACTGTATAAGTATGATCATGTGCGATTGCAGAATAATACAGTTATTTGATATCAAAAAATAAAAATAATAATAATAATAAAAATATAGCATGTATATTTAAAGCAAAAGGAAAATTTAATATTTATAAGCAAGATATAAAAAGGTAATATAATAGCTATAAACTAATCATTATCCAGAATATTTAAAAGAACTTTGCTTTACATTTCCCAAATCAGCTTTACCAGTTTGCATAATAAAAATAATCTCATGATTTATTAAAAGCTGCTTCAGCAAAATTTTAGAACCAAATTAATTAAGCTTATTAAAAACATCATACAATTCAAAGAGAGATAAATACATATATTAACAAGCTCAATGGATTTTCCGTTCCTTTCGTTAATGTTTTAGATGTAGGAAACAACAATTTGTAGAGAAATCGGTAGAGTAGTATCTGTTACAGTTACTTCGTCTCCCTGTTTCACCATTTCTATTAACTTTCTTTCAAGATTTGGCCTGGTCTTTTGTTCAAAAACTGGTGGAGACTGCCAATAAATTTTTTCGTTGGTAACGGCGTGAGATAAACTAGGTTTTTTAAGTTGGCTTTTTTTTAAGGAAAAAAAAAACAATAAAAAATAAAATAAATATTACAGAAAATAAGTTAATAAAAAAAATTAAGATAATAAATGCAAGAACTTACATATCTTGTTTTTCCTTGAGATAATCGATGAAATCTTCAACTGTTATTTCCATGCTGATCTCCATTGTAACACGTTCATTACCACATACAGGACAATCCGGCTTCTTTTGATGTTCAAATGTATAAGTGTACAAACCTTCATTGCCGGTATACATCATGTAATTGTTGAGATATGGTTGTGACGTAGTAATAAGTTTGAATGCTTCGTTACAACATGAAGCTAACAACAAATAAAATATCAATATATTATGAACATAATAAAAGCTTTATTCGTTAGATTATATAAATACCTGCGATGATAGCATTCGTAGAAGCAATTGCCGGGATGATATTTTTTACGACACCTTGAGTGAGCGAATAAGTAACGCCAGTAATGTTGAATTCTTTGGCTCTTTCTAATGCTGTCTCATATAACCATTGTATATGAATCGGATCATCCGTATCCATTTTAGTATCTAAAAATATTAAAAAAATTTTTTTTATGTTAAGTGCTATTAATCATCGTTCAAACAATATACGCGAATGAGAATAAAAACCTGGTCGTTCTTTTGGCCAATGTATGGCAGAAGCCCATTCAATACAATGTTCAGGTAACCTTGGAGTATTAGCAATAGTGCAGATGGGGAAAGTCCTCTGTTTACCCAACATATCTAGAGAACACTCATAACATGAAGTTATAGTAGGAATAATAACTCTGGCTTGACCCTTGAAACCTAATTAAAAAAATTAGGTTAAATAAAATTAACAATTATTAAGGTTTGATATTGATTGAATATACAACTTACCTTCAGTTCCACCGTCAACCAATACTCTAATTCGTTCCGGCTCATCATCGACAAGATTCACGAGAGTGGCATTTATCCATCTACGCGCTTCAACGGAGTCTAAGCCGCAAATAATAAGCTGAAATCCAAGATAATAATCATCGTCCTTATCTTGAATTTTTCCGTGATAACTATAATATTGGACAATAATAATAAATTACAAGTTCGCGACTTAAAAATATAACTGTAAAACTTACTAGGTAACGTTTATACCAGGAACACGTTTCATGATAAATTCCGAAGCTACTTTTGCTTTTGGTTTACCAACGTCGGAAGGTCTAATTTACAAAATAATAATACAATTAGAGTATTTAAAAAATCGGACATGCTTTATGGGATTATAAATACCTAAAGAGAAATTGCCTATTTAAATTCGAAACATCAATAGTATCCATATCAATCACTTCAATATTCTTAAAACCAGAGAGCGCCAAGTTTTTTAGGATTTCACAACCCAAACCGCCAGCTCCAATGACGAGAACTCTACAAGTATTTAGTAATATTTCCTATATTTTGAAAGAAAGATAGTTAATAAAGTTAATTGATCTTTAATGATATTGGTAAAACCTGAAAACTACCGGGAAAAGACATGCAGGAAAATAAAACTTGAGCCCAATACATCGCCGTGATCAGGGGTAAAACTTGGATCAGCGAAGGGACCACGTCGATCTAAAATTTTGTAAAGGTGAGACCAACGACCAGGCCAATCCTTATTTACTGCTGTTTCTAAACCAGCCTGAAGATCGGTCTGCATTTGAGTTTCGGCCATATTTTAGTTAAAGGAGAACGAAGAGAATTTTATTCACAACGGAAACTTTATTTAAATCCGGAATTTTTCGGGTGATGCAGCAGAATTCGATCGGGAATTTTTTTTTTAATTTCTGTACTTTTGTTACGTAATGCGTGATGAATTCTTTTTATATATTTCCATTTTGTTAACTCTCAGAAAAGTAGAAGGCAACGAATTATTTTTAATATAGATTGGACGATAGTTGGTACCAATTATCTAACATAATATATAACTTGAACTTCAAGGTCAAAAAACCTATGCAGTTTGCAAAATATTCAAAATGAATAAAAAAAAATATCAATAAATATAAAAATTATAATAATAAAATTGTGCATATACTTTTTTTTTTTTTTTTTTAAAAAAAAACAATTCGTATTATATGCATTACGCAACAAATTATTATGTATTAAAAAAACGTGATTTTTTTTATGAAAGAGCTAAAAGCCAAAAAAAAAAAAAAAAAAGGAAAAAAAAAAAAACGAATGAACACAAATTCAAAGTAGATAAATAAGTAGGAGACCAATGACGATAATTCTAAGTAAGTATATCAAAACAATCTAAAAATGTAAATATTGATTAGCTATGAAATTTTCTTTTTCAGCTTTCTCTGGTAAGAATCCGCCGCAAATCCAAAATGATTATAAAAGGATTACATAAGACTTATACATTTATCCAATTGATTATTATTCTGCCTGATCAATAGTTCATCAATGCAATAATCAACTTCACATGTCACACGAACCTGAAGCTTCATTATTATTTATTCTTGTCCGCCTCAATGTAACTTCAAAATATGAGTGCGGAAAAACAAGTAAATGTTTTTTACTCATTTACTCCAATGAGAGACAAAAACCAACTATGGAAATTATTAATTCCTTTATCATTTCCAAGCATCTTGAAGATGATGCGTATTTTTCTTAATTACGGCTCTCAAACGGTGCTCCAACGCCTCAGCTTCTCTTCTAGCATTTGCCACTTGCCGTTCAAGATCTTCAACTGAGGCAGTTGTAGTCCTTAATCCGTTAGAACCGTCAGAATTATTGTTGATCGTGGTAGAAGGATTAGGATTGGTCCATAAGTCAGCATTTCCGCTCATTAAAATTGAAGAACCTGAGTTGTTGTTGTTTGAAGAAGAACCAAATAAGGGGGAATCGGATGAGAAAGAAGTTGGTAAATTGAAAATGGAGGAAGTGTTGAAGTTGAAATCCTTGGAGAACAGGTCAGCGGATGAGAAATTAAAGGTGGTAGAAATAGGTGTTTTAAATTCCAAAGAAGAGCTTTCGAAAGCAGAGAGATTGGAAACCGACTCATTGTTCCGGTCATTTTTCGAATCAGAAATGCTCGGAGGTAAGGAAAAGAGTACAGATGATGCAAAGTCAAATTTAAAATCCGTTGGCATTTTAGCGTTGATTTCACTGGAAGATAAATCAGATTGAAATTCCTTGATATCCATATCATTTGATTCCCCAATATTTATAATTGCTTTTGGAATGGTAGTAGTATCATTTTCAATCGAATTTGAATAATTATTAGATTTCATATCTTTTTTGACATTATTCTTCGCAGTATTAGGAAAAACTTGAGCAGAATTATTCTTGTCTTTCTTTTTAGGTTTCTTGGAAAGGATTGGAGATGGAACGACAGATGATTCGTTGGTGGACGATCTTGTTCTACTTTCATCTATAGCATTTCCTTTTTGATGAGGTGTATCTTTGGATTTTGAATAGGATACTTGTACATCCGCGTTACCATGCTTTTTTGAATCTTTAGAAGTGGTGCTCCCTATAGATGACTTATTATTATTAGAATTTGTGGAAGAATTTCTTGAATGCCTATCCTTTTTTCTTGAGTTACTAGTTGTGATATTTAAAGTAGATGTTAAGTCGGTAGCGGAACTTGAATCTGACTTTCGAACAGTATTATCATTATGATGAGATGTTGTATGAGAAGGTTGACCAGATGGATTATTAGTGGATTTTGACTGTTGTTGAGAATTATTTCCACTATTTGATTTTATACTTATAACCTTCACGGATGTAGGCTTTTTAGATTGATTGGAGTTTAAATTATTATTGGATTTTTTGATTGCGGTATCCTTGGCAGAAAACGACGGATTTTTGACATGAGCCACATTCAAAGTTTGGATTGATTCCTTTTCAATTTCTTTAGGTCGTTCCGAATGAATGGAAGTAGTTTGTATTTCTTTAGATGCGTCATTTAGGCCTATATAATAACCATACCATCAATCCCGTAATTATTTTAGACGAATAAAAGAAAAGTCAAGTTGATGATTTAAGTTAACTAATTATGGATCTAATTAAATATCAACAAACGTCCCCATTCAACATAATAATATAAATATTCAAGCAGAAAAAATGACGACATAAACACACCTTCCCCAAAAAATCAAAAGCAAAAAAATTTCAATTGGAATAAATAATCAACTACCACAAGAAGCATTATACAATGACAAAACGGTTTTTTTTTTCTCTCTGTTTCTACTCTCTCTCTTTGTTTTTTTTTTTTTTTTTTTTTTTTTTTTAAAGGCTTAACATTTTTTACATTTTCTTAAATAAGGGATTAATATCCCCGACCACTAAGCATTGAAGAAAACCCACCTGCATCCCCCATTCCGATTCCTACACCGAACCCACTACCAATCTGTTCGTCACCCGTTCTTGCCACCCGTTCAAAAACACTTAATCGATGGCCCCCAACATTTTGCATTGGCTGATATTGTGGCATAACTGGTGCACCAGGTGCTCGATATGCGCTGTCAGCCTGGGATATACGAACGGACATAATGGCGGGATCTTGTAAAATGTTGGGTAAAGACTCTGCTATATTGTCAATAACAAAGTATTTAAATACAAAGAAACACAATAAATACAAAAAAATAGAAACAATAGTGATAAAGTCAATAAAATTATTGATTAATTTAATTCTCGATATATATTATTTATGAACTCGTCCAAACCTTCATTAGGAATATCGTCCTGGACATTCGAACTAGCTGCCGCAGCCTTTAAGAAAGCACCGAAAAAATCTTGAGCCTCATCTCTAGAAGGACGTGAAGCCCCTTGCATAAATTGTTGATTCTGATGTGAGGATTGATGTGAGGATTGATGTGAGGATTGACGTGATACGTATTGTTCTTCAATATTCCATGGTGCATTTTGTGGGTTCCATCCACCTGTCATTCCGAAATCCATACGATGCGTTGTTGGAGTATATATTCCAGGGGGTGGGGATTTGATAGCTGGTGCGGATGTACTAGAAATCATGGGTTGATGATGTTGCAATAACATATTTTGGTGAAAAGGATCCAAACTTACAGCAGAATTGGTATTATGAATCGAATGAGTCGAATTTAAATTGTTAATTATTGGAACACCAGGAGGGGCTGTCAATAATGTTCGCCGTAATGGTGGTGTAAAAGTAGAATCATTTGACGTATTCCACATGGATTCTTGGTGCACATCACTAGGACCAAAGCTTATATTGACATTAGGGAAAAGTGCACGAAAATCTTCCTGTAAATCTTTCATAACCAACGTATCTGATACATTCAAATGAGAATTATCACCATCTTCTAGAGCAAAACCGAACCGAGATGCTTGCCTTGATTTTGCAGGGGATGATTGTCCGTGCGACGAATGAGACCTAGAATCGTTTGTATAAGTATCCGCTACATTATTATTGCTACCAAGAGAAGATAATCCTAAAATACTCAACGAATTTGATTTATCTGTGTCGAATGGATCAAATTTGTCGTCATCTGTAGCGAATGGATTAAATGAACCAGTATATGGTGTGGGTATTGGTTGAGCGTAATCAGTATTAGTAGCTTTAATAAGGTTTGAACTAGGACTTTCTGTATGAAATCCAGCGCCTGATCCAGCGCTTGGAGGTGGAGATACTATACGAGAACTCCCAACAACATTTTCCGAAGCATTTTTGGAAATTTTATCGTTATTTCTTCCTTCTGAAACTGCATTGTTTTCCATTAATGGAACATTAAAAGAAAAAGAAAAAGATCCATCGCTAAGAGCAGATAATGTTTGATCAAAGTCTGCAACTATATCATTTTGTTTAGTAACAAGTTGTGGAGGTTTATCGCTAGATTTTTCTGCTGAAGGAACTGATGGAGAAACAGATTGGTCCTGTAACTTAGTACCCTGAACTAATTCAGATACCAATTGTTGAGGCTTCTCATGTTCTATATCTACGTCGACTTCTTTTCTTTTAGACACAGTTGCTAAATGTTGTACTGATTGTGACTCTATTTTCTTAATTGCCTTTGGTCCTGAGGATTCAACTGCTACAATGCGTTTAGGTTTTTGCTCTTGAGACGGTGATGGTGGTAGATGTTGAAGATTTGGCAAATGTGGTGAATATGATTGTTGTGATTGTTGTGAATTTTGTGATTTTTGTGAAGGATGTATTACATGTGTTAATTGTGGTAGATGCTGTGAAGTATGTGATGATGGCTGGGGCTGTGCCGAATTAGATGATTGCTGTGAAGATGCATACTGTAATTGTGGCAAAGGCTTATTGTTTAGCACAGGTGTAGATTCTGTACTTGATGGTTTATTAGCCCAAGAAGCAGTAGGAGGTAAAGCTGATGCTGAAAATTTTTTAAAAATAATAGAAAAAAGGAATTTGAAAATCGAAGAATTTTGTTTATTAAAATTTAAAATTTTGTTGTTTTTCTTAAATATATACAAATTCAATTTGTAAATTGATAAAATACCCTCTTCTCTCTCATCATTGCTTCCTCTGTCGCTTTCAGGGCCAAGAGCGCGATGCGGGGTATCGGGCTTTTTCTGTGGTGGAAAAACGCTCGATGTTCCTGATGATACTGGTCGTCCTAGCTGATGAACCTTATGTGTTTCCGTACTTGCGTGTTCTTTTAGGTGATATTTACTAAAACATGAAATATTATCAAAATCCTTAATTTTAATTACATAAAATGATTT